TCCTGTACTCTGAACTTGGCAGGATCCTGCACTGTCTGGTTTCAGTCTGTTTCCAAATGACGATCCTGCGGGACCTAGAGAAGCTGGCAGGATGGCATCGCATCTCTATCATCTACCTGCTCAGTGGCATCACTGGGAACCTTGCCAGTGCAATATTTCTACCCTACAGAGCAGAGGTGGGTCACCTGCAGACTAGGGTCCTGGTAACTTGCCCTGAACGCAGTCTTCTCTACCAGCCTGTACCTCTCTGGCAGAGGCACCAGAGCTGGGCTCTTCTCTGCAGCACGTGCCTTGGGCAGATCTGTAGCTACAAGACAGCACCACACCATCAGCTAGCTGCTGAGCAGTAACAGCCCCCAGAGTACCCTGGACTTTCCAAGTGACTGGCCTGGCTGCCATTAGGAGGCTGCCTCTCGTAATGAATGGGGGCTTTGTGCAGTCACAGGATAAGAGAGGCCCCTGGCAGGCTGAGAATCGAGAGCTGTAGCTGCTGCCAGTGGCAGGCAGGAGAGGGGCAAAAAGCAGAGCTCACCTTCCCCTGAGACTGTTCAGGACTGTCCCTGCCCACATGCCATTGCTGGAGAAGTCTGATGTGACTGTCGGGCTTCACTTGAGCAGACTGGAGGACCATCTTCCAGGTCCTTCAATAAAGAGAAGTGCACGGTGGGCAGGGGAAGCCAGGAGATTGCCTGCAAGGGCTTCTCCCCTCTGGTGACTTAAACCAGAAGCGCCCTCCTGAAATACAAAGTCTGTTCTGGCGATTGCTGGCCTCACACCTACCTTGATCCTAAATCAAACCAGGCCCCTTTACTGCTTGAACCTCATTCTAAAGATGAATTTGCAGGCTGTGGCATCTCTTTCCCAAGAAACACTCAACAAGTCGTTGAATAACAAATAACTGCAAAGCCTGGAGCTGGCTGCAGTAGCCAGGCAGACGGCCCGTGCCTGATGTTACCTGTAATGCTCTTCTTCTGCAGGTTGGCCCTGCGGGATCCCAGTTTGGGATTCTGGCCTGTCTCTTTGTGGAGCTCTTCCAGAGTTGGCAAATCCTGGCACGCCCATGGAGGGCTTTCTTCAAGCTGCTGGCTGTGGTGCTCTTTCTTTTCGCCTTTGGCCTCCTGCCTTGGATTGATAATTTTGCTCACATTTCAGGATTTATCAGTGGTTTCTTCCTCTCCTTTGCCTTCCTGCCCTACATTAGCTTTGGGAAGTTTGATTTATATAGGAAGCGATGCCAAATTATAGTTTTCCAGCTCATCTTCATTGCACTCTTCTCAGGACTCGTGATTCTGTTCTATTTCTACCCCATCAAGTGCGAGTGGTGCGAGTTCCTTACTTGTATACCATTCACAGACAAATTCTGCGAGAAATACGACCTGGACGCACAGCTCCACTGAAAGGCAAAGACTGGCTTCTCGAGCAGGCACTGGAGATGGACTGTCTTTGCATTTGCTGTGCCAGTTCCGTGTGGACAAAGCCTCTAATCCAATGACACTTCTAACCCTGCCCGTGGTTAATTTAAACTGTCTCCTTAGCACTTGGCAGGCGTGTTTTGCCTTATCTCAGAAGACTCTGAAAACAGAACGTTTGTGCCTTGTTCAATTGTATTGAACCTTTTCTGCTGCCATTATTTTTATTACACTAGTTTCAATACTACATTTTTAACCAGAGTTGTTTACTACTGCTAAGGTGGTGATTAAATGGTAAGGTAGCGTTTTAGCTACTGTTAATTGTTCTGCATAGTCTGTGGCTACGTTTGTTACTTTATCTCACCTAGACAGTAGAATCAATCCTTTTTCTAGCACCCGAAACAGTTGGATGCAGATTTGCAGCTGGAAATAAGGGCCTTAAAAGCCTCAGAAAACTAGAAGGTCCCTTTAATCACTGAAAATGCATTCCACATACAGCTCAGAGGCAGACATTTCAAGTAGCAACTGCAAAAACCCCATGAGAATGGTCATTCAACTGCAGTTTGTTTCTCTTAGAAATGTTACAACCTTTTTTCCTCCAGGAAAGTGCTGAATCCAGAGTCTGGTCTTGGTACAGCTGGATTTTCTGCTCTCTCTGTTAAAGAAAGAAAATATTTGGCAGTGACAAGTTACTGCATGCTGGGCTCTCTTATCACCACACTACCCTGCCAGGCCAGGCCAGGGGGGGGAATCAGCCCCTGCCAGAGGTGACTGCTGTTACGGCACACGTTTTATTACACTGGATGTTGCAAATGTGGCAGCCTTGAAAGAACAAAAAAAAAAGTTACTTGGTCACAAAGCAGCAGTTTCTAACCCAGCTAGCTGGAGTTGCAACACCAAAACCCAAGCGTCTGCAAAAGCTGCTCTTACCACTGCTCTTCAGGCACTGGGATTGTGTTTTTAGATGTAGAGGGGAAGCAAACAAAACTTTAAACTTAATGAGCTTGAGAGTCTTGGCCCCATCTGGTGTTTGTGTGCACAACTTTCTAAAAATAGCAGTCTAATACCAGAATCACATCTACATAGGTTACAAACTGGTAAACACCCATGCTACTAGTGCTTCCTGTGCTGTAAGTGTTTATAAATGCATCAGTTGCACAGACATAGCACCAAAAGTTGTCTAGGGCTGGGTCTTGTCTTCTGAGAACAATTCACTGGTTGAACTCAAGTTTCTATAAACCAGAAAATGGAGAAACAGGGAGTCAAAACCTACAGGATATGCAAGTTCAGATCCTTTTTCCTAACTCCATAGAGCTTGCACTAATTGAGAAAAATGGCACAAAATACACCCACTGTGGAACAGCAACGATCGTGCTGTTTGGTTGTTGCAGTTGCTTATGTGCACCTGTGGGATGTTTCTGTTCCCTGCCATTCCAAGCATGTGCAGCTGAGCATTAGGAGCAGGGTGGGAGAACAATCTCTCAGGTACAAGAGGCCGAAGCACAAATAATCTGGGTGGTGCCAGTCACCTGTAGCAGAGAAACCTGTGTCATCCCTAAGAGTCAGTCAGCACCCAGTCACCTTCCTGAAGGTGACTTCCAGGCATTCAAGCAGCCTAAAAGCAAGCAAGGACCTAGAAGCAATCAACAACAGCAACCAAAGGAGTGCTGCGTTTAACGTGCCTCAAGACATCATGGGAACAGATTCAGAGTCTAAACACAGAGATACACCATTGCCAGCACTGAGCTATCGCTGCTGGTGCCCCTGATGTAGCTGACTTGTCCTTCCCTGCTCTGAGAGAAGCACAGAGACCACAGCCAGGGCACAAGCCTAATGCAGACACAGGCGTTCAGAAACGCTTTGCTACGCGGCAGAGCGCAGCGACACCAGCTCCTGTGAGCCTGAACACTAAGGCCCGGGGCAGAGGGAGATGAAGAAGGGGTAACTCTCAATGGCTATTCAAGGCTTACCTGACAGGTTACTTCCGAAGCTTCTTTATGAAGCTGACCTCATCCCGGTTTCTGATGCCATACCTGCCCAGAGAGTTATGCTGTTACACATGCCAGTTTCCCCAGAACAGCAGCCTCTGAAATCCTACAGCTGCCTCTTTCCCAGGGGAGGATGGGCTCCTACGCTCACTTGCTGTGCTCCAACGCAGGACAAGTTAAAATTCTCAGTTGTGCATGTAGAAGTTTGCCAGCACTGAAGGATCTGATCATCTGCCTTTTTAACTGCAACACCCCCTTAAATGCAACATCTGTTACCTGAGACTCAGTCTTTCTATGACAGCTTCAATCAAAGCTGGCTTGCTAAGTTTTTAATACTTCAGCCAAGCTTTTCTTGCTGGTCTGCGCGCAGGCTGGCACACCCAGCACTGCTGTATGCAACAGCTAGAGTGCTCAGAACCACCTCCTGCCTCCTCGCCCTGATAACGGGCATGGAAACACCGGAGTCATCTGTCAGTGTTGTTACTAGGTTGCCTCTGAGGATAGGTGGCTGAGCAGGCCCAGAGCCCAACACGCTTATCCTTGGTTTGCTCTTGGCATTCTTCCGTCCTCTTTTCTGCCTTTCCACCTCAGCAGCTCTGCCAAGCCCTCTGCGAGGGTGGCCGAGCACTGGAACAGGTCGTCCAGTGAGGTGGTGCAGTCTGTGTTCTGGGAGCTGCTCAAACCCTAACTGGACGCAGCCCCGAGCAACCAGCTGTAGCTGCCCCTGCTTGTGCAGAGGGTCGGACTAGATGACTCCCAGAGGTCCCTTCCACTCTGGATCCCCTCCACCACATAACGTGTCCTGACCCCGTCCTCCTCTGCCTGGCTGCTCCCCAAGATGCTGGGTGGGCTCCAGTGAGGCCTCTGCCACCTCCCCCCCCCCACGGGACTCGATTACTCACTCTCTCAGCTTCTTTCTGTCATCTGACAGTTTCTCTCCGGCGTACGTTAAGTGGTACGTCCTCCATATGTACTTCCTAGAGAAAAAACCACTTAGGGGGAGCAGCGGGAGGTGCTGCCGGCCGGGTGCTGAAGGTGGGGGTGAGCGGGCAGAGCCCCCCCCCCCCCCGGGTCCCACTCACCAGCTGAGGTGCTGGACGCCGCCCTGCCGCGCCTGCCGCAGCTGGATGTGCCGCCGCAGCGCCTTCTTCAGCTCCAGCACCGAGGCGTTCTGCACCACCACCACGGCTGCGGGGGGGGGGGGGGGGGGGAAAGAGCCCCGTCAGCGCCGCGGCCCCGGCCACCCGCCCCCCCGGCCCCGTCCCGTCCCTCCCCCGGGACTCACGCACGGTCTCGCCGTCAGCCTTGCAGACCCGCACCGTCATGGCCTGCCCGTACTCCAGCGCTACCTGCGAGCCGATCTCCTCCGCCGTCACCTGCGGGCGGAGCGGTCGCGACAGCCGAGCGAGGCGGGGCTGAGCCCCCCCCCTCCCCGCCCGCCCCCCCCCGGGCCCCACCTGCGGCGGGAGGTCGCAGAGCAGCGGGTCCTGCACCAGCCGCGCCAGCGCCGCCTGGAACAGCTCCAGCACCTCGGCGTGCGCCAGCTCCTCCTCGGCCTCCGCCGCCATCGCCGGAAGGGGCGGGCGGCGCGGCGGAACCGGCGATGCTGCTCTTCTGCCCGGCCTGCGGCAACGTGCTGGTGGCCGAGGAGGGGCCGCGCTGCCACCGCTTCGCCTGCACCACCTGCCCCTACGTGCGCAACGTCACGCGGAAGGTGCCGGGGGGGGGGGGGGGGGGCGGGCGGGCGGGGGATGGGGGGGGGGCGCGGAGGGGCGGCCCTGACCCAGCGGCGGCCGCCCGCAGGTGACCAGCAGGAAGTACCCGCGGCTGAAGGAGGTGGACGATGTGCTGGGCGGCGCCGCGGCCTGGGAGAACGTGGACTCCACCGCAGGTAGGGCCGGGCCGGGCCGGGCCGGGGGGGGGGGGGAAGGCCGCGGGGGGGAAGCCGGGCCTCCCCTCGCCTCACGCCGCCGCGCCTCGCTCCGCAGAGTCCTGCCCCAAGTGCGAGCACCCCCGCGCCTACTTCATGCAGATCCAGACGCGCTCGGCCGACGAGCCCATGACCACCTTCTACAAGTGCTGCAACGCGCAGTGCGGGCACCGATGGCGGGACTGAGGGGCCCCGGTGTTCCCCCCCCCCCCCACCGCGGGGCCTGAGGGGCCGCCGCCCCAAAGCCGAGGAAAGGGGCTGACCCCGGCCCCGGCCGGGGGAGCGCAGGTCCCGCGGGGATGTGGGAAGGGAATTTTGCAATAAACCTGACACTGAGCGGAGGCAGCCGACTGCTGTGTGGTTGCTTTAAAACGTGCCCGGGGGCAGGGCGGCCAAACACACCTGAGGACAGTCGGAGCCTCTCCGAGGGCGGGCTCGGGCCCTGTGGCACCGCGGGGGGGGGGCCCTCCCCCACAGTGCCGGGGTCCCGCTAGAAGCACACACAGTAAACTAATGCCACGCACAGCAAGAAACCAGTGCTTAAAAGAGAGACAGACCTTAAGGTCACTAAGCTAAAGAATAGTTACCAAACCTCAGCACGGAGCCCGCTGCTGGGCAACAACAGAAGGCAAAGCAAAGGTAACGTGTTACTGCTGTGGCCTTAGCGGGGGAGGAAAAAAAAAGGGTCCTCTGCTACAACCTGTGAAGACCCTGTAAGATAAAGCAAAAACTATGAACTATAATGCTTCACAAGCAAGTATCGGTAAAAAGAGAATATACTTAAAGTGGGATCAAATATTATCATCGAGGTTTATTCTCTAATACATTCAACAGGAAAAAGGATAAATAACAAACGCATGATGGAGCACAAATTGCAACATTTAATCTGCATTATCACTCGCTCCTACTGGCTAAACCAATTTAATACAACTCAGCTTTACCTCTTTTATACAGGGATAATCTGCACCCATTTATTCCAATTTACCTCACAGGGAAACACTCTTCCCAGTCTGAGAGTACAGTCGATCGTAGGCTCGTAGTAGATTGTTGGGGTTTCGCTCAGTTTGGGATTGTTTAGTTCTTCTTCCATAACTGGCTGAGAAAAGAGCGACACCGGGGATGGCTTTTTCATGTAGAATCGTCTGATGCAGCCAAGAGTTTCCAGACCCTACAGAAAAATTCACATACTCGAGCAGTTGTGGCGAAGAAAGGTGTGGCTCACATTTGCTCGAGCAGTTGGGGCAAAGAAAACAAATGCACCAAATGCTGCTCTACCTACAGCGCTCTCAGAAACATTAAGACAATTTATACTGAAAGTGGCTTCGCTTCACCCCCTCAGGAGACCACGGGGATGGCAGGGGTTACAGCGCAACAGAGCAAGTTCACCCAGCTGGATATTTGCTCCTTTGTTACTGTCAGCACAGTGGTTGACATCTGGCTACTCACACAGAACAAGCGTTCAACAACAGGTCTCAGCATTTAGGACCAGTTACAAATAATTTAAGGCTGGTATAGGTGTAAATCCCAGACTTGCAGGTGAGTTCTTACTCACGGGTTAGGATTCGTTCCCACAGCAACACCCAGCAAGGAAATTTATTTATGTGCTCTATTTGCTGAAAACATCTGGCATGTATTCAGTAACCTTACATAGGTATGCTTCTAGATTTACTAATATTTGGTATATTACAGATTTAAGCTCTGCCTGTGGTTTCCAAACCAGTTCTTACCAAATTTCTCGGTAGTGAGATTCAAGTTCTCCAGTCTAAAATGTACAGGTAATTGCTTGGTTTCGTGGATTTGAATTAAAATTGCCTGGGAATCTGTATTGCTCTCCCACACGTGCGTGCCACCGTACACTCGGCACTGCAGTCTGAAACCTGCCCCGAGCCCCGCGACCCCGCCGGCAGTGGTGCTGTGCCGCAGGACACGCGGGCAAGCTGCGCTGGGACCCCCGGGAGCACGCCGGTCACTCAGTGCACGGCTGGTAGCACACACCACTTGCACTGTTACCAAACGTATGAGCCTTTGGACGTACGTACACTGGAATATTGGTTTCCAGCGTTGGTAGGGGAAGTCACGCTTACGGGAAAGACTGCAGTATTGCTGCTATACTTAAGATTTCGAGTCATTACAGGGAAAAAAATAGAAATTCAAGCTTCGTTTGCAAAGTAGCAGTGGTGGCAATCAAACTTCAAGATGTGGGAAAAAAAAAATAATGAGAAACTCAAATTTTCTCGCCATCTATTTTACAATTAAGGATGTACATCTTTAAGCAGGTCTGTCAGGATAGAAGGTTTTGTTTACAGTATTGTCTAGCACAGACACATTTCAGTCTGATTCTTACATCAAAGACCACCCATCCAAAGAGTATATAAGGAAAAAATTAAGATAAACTCCATGGCGATTAACAGTCTAACTTAATATTTCACAGTGGGAAGCCACCACTCTTTAGTAACCAACTCTAATTTCAACCACATGGACACCCATTTCAGAAGCAAGCTCAAATTTTAAAATCACTAATGTGGTAATTTCTAGGACGAGTAAAGCAGGCTTCCTCCCTTCCTCACTGCGAACAGTAACTTGCTCTGGCTTTGCTTAATTTACACTAAAGGGAGAAGGTTATTTTTCATGGTTCTTTCACAGTCCCATTTTTCCTGGGACTTCCAGCAAAGCAGTTGCTGACTCTTCTGTAAGGAAGCTGAGCCAGATTAAAGCACACACAGCTGGTGATTCGCGTACCTGCAATATCTCTAAGACAGCAACAGGCTGCAGCACCCCCACGTAATGCTGCAACAGCACGCCTTCCGTTACGCCTGGTTTTGTCATGATGTGATAGAGCACAGCTTCCATCATCCCCTTACACACAGGTTTGTTCAGATTCCCATCCACGATCCTCCACGGTCTCCCAATGAAGCAGACATTCTCGCAGGCCCTGCAAAAGGCAATTTAAGTTCAGCTCTGTCAGAACTTTCTCTGCTAGCTATCACCACGACTTCTGCGTAATACAGATTCTCACTACATCCACTGCCAGTGCTTACTCACACGCTAGGTGTAAATTCTGTAGCTGCTCTGAGCAGAGACTGGTGCCAATCTACTAGACGCTTCCACAGACCTGAAGTATTCACACTAAGTGTTCACCGCCTGAGAAGCACTTTTTAGCACCATTATACAACCCAACAGTTACCTTGAGTCTCGATGACCAGGAAAGCTTTCTTTGTTACTAGCTTGATTACCCTCTAAAAGTTATCGAACACCTGCTTCAGCCTGCAACGTGCAGCAACGGTGCTCAGGTAGGAAAGAAATTCCTCACTTTTAGCATTTTGGGAATCAGAAGACAGACCCGGCATGGAAATGCCCATTTCCCAGACTGCAGTTTCTCCAGGCCTCTCCTGGGCACGTGGAAGCTTGGCACTGGACTTACTTGTGAAATAAAATTAGTTTTGTTCCTCTGATATTGGGAGCTAGTTGTTTTTTGGGAAAAAACAGGTATCAGAATTTTTTTCAGCACACATTCAAGTAGCATTAACAATAACAGTGGAGGAAAACACGGGGTTTCTCCATCATCAATGCTCACTGTCCATCAGAGCACAAAACTAAGGTTTCCAAATCTTTTACTTCCAGATACTATTTTGCTAGTGCTAAGTGTTTCCTTACTCTGCAGGCATCTGTTACTCACCCGTCCCTGGCTGCCTGGGATACATCTGTTGCAGAACTTCCTGCAAAGAAGAGAACGCGGGGTTTTTAATTAACCCAAACTCTTTATCTAGTGGAAGGAAAGGCGTCTAAGCTGTAAAATGCAACAGTTTATGCTAGAAAAAGGCAAGCAAACTACACTGCATGTTGTTCTCAGTTGCACGAGCAGCTCCAAGCTTCCCCTTTGCCTGCTTTTACCTGTCTGCAGCACACTCGTTCTTCCCACACTTCTCACAACCACGTTTGTCTACTCCAACCACACTTTTTGTGATTCCATTGCCGAATCACAGCAGGAAGTTTTATTCCTAGAAGTCTGATGACACGGCTGAACAACAGGTAATTCTACGGACTGAAAGCACTGTTTCACACAGGCAGCTATGCAGGGTCTCAGCCTGCAAGCACTCCCACAGGTTTGTTTAACTTAATGCTCCTGGTAATCACGTGGAAGTTGAGCAGAAGTCTGATTAGCTGGTGACTTGAGGATGCAAACTCGGGATTTCAGCAGGGTTCAGTTTCAAAGTGAAGGTTGTCTCTGCAACTTCCATTATGCATTATGTCATGGGTTTTAATTTACACAATGACTTAATGTAGGCATTTCTACCACACCCAGAGGCTAAGAGCTTTGGCTTAAGCCCATGTAAACCCTTCAGCTAGCCCTCATCAGTAAGAACTTTATGCTTGATAACGTAACTATTATTTCTTCCCTCCTGTGTTACAAACAAGTAGAGGAAGTTAAATGCAAAACAGGACTTCAGTGGTTTCATATTCAGAACTGCTGGAGTCTCTGCTGTTTAGGCAGTGCTGAGTTTCTTTCCTGCAGGAATTAAACAATACCCGGCTCCAATCAATACCAAGCTCTAAGATGCTACGGCTCCGTCTGCACGGAGTCACGTGGCAGCCTGCTGCTCTAAGCACGGGTAACGGCAGATCTTGGCAAAACACCACACAAGCAGTTAGCTTGTGATTCAATCTGAAATCCGAGCTGATAAAAACAAAAACAAAATAAAATCCTCAACGACCTATTTAATGTAGAGCTTGGCAAGAACTACTAGCTATTAAAAAAGAAAACTGGCAGTAAAAAGGAAATGAAAATGAAGTCAAACTGGGTTACAAACAAGGCTATTAATCTCACTGGCATGTGCTGCTTTCTGATGAATGGTTTAATGACTTTACAACTTTCGGTCATGGACATTCTAATGCACATCTACTGGTGCACTGTGTTTTCTAGGTTTAGAGATGTCTAGCCTTCAGATTGAAGCCAGAGGTGAGAAACTTCAGATCCAAATATGTTTTTGGAGAAAAGTAAGACAAGGAAACAAGCTTCTAAGGAAAACACACTTCTGGACTAGTCACAAACATTCCAGCAACAGACAAGGAGGAACATTCCTCCAAGACCTTCCAGATCAAGTAGCGTTACGCCACTTCATCTGTGAGAAATGGCAACCTCTTTGTAATGGCTTCATAAAGAGTCTAGTATTTGCTTATAAAATGGAGCTACCTGCTTGGGATCAACTGATGGTGAGCTAGTCTCTATTTCTGGGATGTAGAGTTGCCCTACGTACCTTTGGAGACTCCTGGGTTCTCTGGTAAGTAGGAGGGATCCTCATCCTGCTCCCCGGCTGATTGCTCAAGGCTAGCGATCTGCTGCT